GAGAGAGAGAGAGAGAGAGAGAGAGAGAGAGAGAGAGAGAGAGAGAGAGAGAGAGAGAGAGAGAGGTTATTTGTAACACCCAACTGTTTGAAAGATGGACTGCCTATTGACTGCTGTAAGTCCGACAAGCTTTGCCTATTGGCTTGTCGGACTTACAGCAGTCAATAGGCAAAAGCACATAATAAGACTCGGAGCCAAAGGATGGCCACCATTTGTTAAAGATGGTTATTTTTTAAACCTCGATTACACACCGACAGATGTTCTTTCCAGCGAGTAGTGGTTGTACGGCTGGTCTGCCCAATGTATAGTGCTTGACACGTAGGCGAAGACAATGCATAAACACAGCAAGATGCATTCAAGAATACAATCCCATATCGCGAGTAGGAACTAACCCAAGAATTAACATACTTCTTCAACCACCGAATCTCATTAGCCAACGTCAGCAAAATCACTGTCAAGCGGTACAAAGTTACCGTATGTGAGTCACCTAACCCTTCTCTCTTCCAATCAATTAGACAGCGACAGATCCCCCATAGCTCCTGGACCTTCCAGTCTCATCACACCTCCTCTTCCACGTACCCTCCTACCTTAGTACCTTCTTTGGCGCGTCTATCATCGCCAACATTCTCCGATTCTTCTTCATCCTGGGATCCATAAGCCACTTGTGTCCTTTTATTGGTAATCGCCAGGATCGTCTGCATCTTCTTCCTTTCCCACTGCACATCCTCTGACTTGCAAATCTGTTTCAATTCATCGACTGTAAGATCAGCCAGATCACATACTAGGTTGTCAGTCACATACTGGAGCTTCCCTATTGGTCCAATCGTTGCTGGAATCTTGCGTCCAGTCTGTGTGCCGCGCCGTGGCGTCTTCCGCTTCGGAGAGCGCTCCATGGGTGGATGACGGCAACTCAGTTGGAGTCTCTCTGGCAGGCGTAGTGGTTCCACTGTACCTTGCTTTGCGTGTCGCTTCTTCGGAGTCTCCATTGGCGGGCTGTCTCCGATCTGGTTATCACTACACTAACTACGCTTTCGCTTCTTGTTAATCGTCAAGTTCCCGGTCTTATTGCTCGGCGCTTCGACTTCGTTTTCATCAGAGTCATATGACTCAACGCTTCATCCGACTCTTCCAAGTCTCGTACTTTTGCTTTACCCTTCCTTCCTCACATTCTTGATAACGATCGTGAGCCTATGTTGTAACCTCTCTTCCAATCCTCCGACATGCAGTGACATATGCATCAGCGTATCCTTCCTCATTTCCTCATTTTTCTCCGCTTCTTTCTGAATCTTCATCTCCTTCTTCTTCCGTTTGCGTTCAGCCTCACACTTCTCTTCTCTATTCTCAGCATCTCTTCTTCCACTTTCCGTCTTTTCTTGGCTTTCTCCTGCTTTCGCTTCTCCTTCGCCTCCCGATGTGCGTTCTCGGTCGCCACTTGCTCTTGCATAGCTGCTAGAGTGTTGGTAAGCTCTTCAATCTTTTTTTTCATCGCTGGATCTTCAGATGACGACCGTTTCTCGATTGCATGATCTTCATAGCTAGGTGAAGTCGATCTCCCTCGTTGTCGGTTAACGTATCATGAGCTACCTTCGCCAATCAGACGAGGACAATTGTTGCGGTAATGTCCAGGTTCCCCGCATTTGAAGCACACTATAGGAGCTCTACACTGCAGTTCCCTTTGATACGCATCCCTATGGAGCAGATGGTGGCCGAAGCTTTCAGAAGTGGTTAAGGAAACCGGATTCTCTGCAACTGAAACTTACGGAAGAAGACCCTCGTCCCCCATCATGATGGGAATTGCACTTGAGTCAGGTTGGGGTACAAGAGCAGTGGGAGAAGGAGGAATTGCACGTAGTGACCTCTCGGTTAGACCAATCAATATCAGAGTGGAATTTGAATCCTGTAACATGGGGTTGGCGTGGTTTGGGCAAGGCGAGTACTACACTCCCGTTGGATCAGATGAAATCAACAGGAGGAAGGCAGACAGGAGGAAGGCAGAGTCTTTGGTGTGAAGGTTAAATGTTGTGTCCAAGTTAACACACTTCTGTGTATTAGAGTTAAGTCGTGATGTGTTTAAGTTTCTACTGTGAATCGTTTTGCTGCTTTTGTCCTTGTTGACTTGCCTCGGGACTGGGTTGGCGGTTGGAGTGTCAGCTGGGGGTGGTTGCGCTGCAGGTCGCCTTAGACCTGGTTATCACGGGTCTGGGTCTTGGGACTCGGTTACTCGAAGTACCTAGGAATATAGCCGCATTGGATTACTAGATAATAGACAAGCAGAGGGCGCGAGAGAACAGACACAGTACAGGTAGCGTAGACTAAGCTGATTTAATTACTGATTGGCTAAACCGAAGCTGGGAGATGAGCCCAGTGTCCTGGTCATTCCAGGTTGTTTGTGAGGATTCCCGGGACCAAGTCCCACTTGGTACCCGAATTCTCAACTTCTGACGGTAGATTAGGAAGAGATCAACGGCCAGAAATGAAGAATCAGCGTAAGTGGGACTTGGCCCCCGGCCTCAGAGTCTTGTACTTTGACAATGGATTCTCAACTTTTTCCTGAACAAAAAAAAGAAAAAAAGAAAAAAAAAGTTACATTCTTCTCTCAATTTCACCTCACGCTACCTACCTACCTACCTACCACTACTAATTATAGGCATACGGGAACCCCGTAGCAGCGAGAACTTTGTTCACGAGAGAACATGCAGGGGCTGCTCACGACCTGCAGCCTGCAGGTGGAGGCTATACCGGCCAGGGGACAGCCGGTAGCATCAGGGACCATGCCAACGGGACCAGTCCCTTTGCCTCCCCTCAGGTGGTGGTCCCCACCCCTACGAACATCAGCAGACTCTGCTAAAAAATGCCGATCGGGGGATCAAGTGGCCTATCTCTGGGTGGGGGGCGCCAAGCATGCCCAGCTGAGGAAGGTACATGAGGCCCCCTTGGGGATTGAACCCACGACCTCCTGAAGGCCACTTGCAAGCCTTACCAACTGAGTTAGGCCGCTGGATATAAAAAAGAATTTGGCAAACTACGTCATCGCACCGTCTGGTGGAGAGAGCATCTTGCCTGAAGGCCCAATCAGGGTCTTGTACATTGAGGACTCAGCCCGATGTGCGAATACCCTTACACCACCCACGTACATGAGAATAAAAAAAAAGAAAAAAGAATGAGAATCTTTTGTTTCCCAAAAAACAAGCAAAAAAAAAATTCTTTTGTTTCCCAAAAAACAAACAAAAAACAGAATCTTTTGTCGATTTCCTAGTGGTCAGAAGAATCAACCCGGTCAGCTACGGGCAAAATGCTCCGTCTAAAATTAAAAAAAAAAAAAAAAAAAAAAAGCTCGGTCTTTGCATTAGTCAGACCCCCACCGGCGGCCCCACCCCATCCTTGACCACCATGGTTGGTTGTGTTGGGGGGGGAGGGGGGGGGCAACATGCATCCCCTCTGATGGGGGGCTGGAGGGAGACAGCAAAGCTATGTTCGCAGGGGTCCCCTGTATAAACCTGAGGAGTAGTGGTAGGTAGGTAGGTACTGAAGGTGAATTGAAAGAATTTGAAAGATGATGATGAAATATTTGAGAGGTGAAATTGAGAAAAAAATTTGATGTGTGGGTCCCATTGGGTCCTGTAAAAAGCGAACACTGGGTTTAAAAAAAAAA